TTTGAGATAAACATTTTTCTGAAAAGTGTCTACTAAAAATCAAAAATATTCATTAGTTAAAAAAAAAAGGTAGAAATCTACTGACTTTTATCATTATTTTCTTCATGCCCACTCCCAAATGTATGTATGGGGAAATGCAAGAAAAAATTTAAAGGAATGTATCTTACTTGGTCACATTATAACTCAATTCATGAAGATTATTTGAAGCTTTATTTCAGTTCTCCCAATCAGTTTTCATTTCAGTAGGCTGATTCTATAGTAACTTGGACCTTCACGTATGAGTGATATTTGTATGGTGAGATCTCCTAGCATTTGAGTCAATTCTTTTTCACTTTTCTTCTACCAAATATAGAAGACTTACTTTGGGAAGATACACAGAACTCAATAATCCAAGTTCTTTGCTGAAAGGAGACTTTCTAGTGTATTGAGACCCTAAAAGTTCACTGCATAAGCAGAAAAGAGACATTATCCTCTTCTTTCAGATTTTCTCTGAAGGTTTTAATTTGTTTTCTCTAGAACTTGACCATGTGTGGAAATTGAAAAATTTGGATATCCAGAGGGTATCCAAATCATGGATAATCCAGAAACCCAAATCCACAGATACCTTTGAGATCAAGACTGGTGCTTTCTATCCAAATATCTATTCACTAGTACTTTCTATTCAAAATGCAAATAGAGTTGGAACCTCTGAGGTGCTGCAGTTTAGAAACAATGTTCTCTTATCCCTGTTGGAATCAGAGACCGGCACATTCCTGTGCACAGTGACTTACTCTTGCAAAATTTGGAGAAAACACCATGGCTTAGACTTCATGTGAGAGGGATGGAAGAATTTTCTATAACAGCACAGATATTTTTTCACTACCTCATTTTCTAAGCTTAGTAAGAAGCTAAGATTGAAACACAAACAAACAAAAACCCCCCAAAACTCCAACCCTCTATTGCAGCTGCATTAAGTGGAGGGGGAAAGAGGTCTTTCATTCTCAGAGACCACAGCTCAGTAACATGCTTATGCACATATTTTTCCAAAGATGCGAATAGTCTCATTGCAAACTAATGCTCAAAGGCACACGCTTAGGAATCTTGCTAAACTAACTGTCTGGATCATTTCTCTCTTTCAACCAGTATTGTCTGGATCTCACCCAAGTTCAATCTGAGCCAGATGCTCTTCTCCAGGAGCCACTCTCCTCTAGGCAATGCAACATCTTTGTGATGGCTCTGGCTTCATCTGTGGAAAATGAGATATACACTTGGGTGTCATCTGCAAAGCCTGCAGCATCTTAGTCTCTCTCTGAGCAGTCTCCTGAAAGTACTGGAAAGGGGTGGAAGGAAGGGTTTACAGTCCTCTGGTAGAACTGCAGGTGCTGGATAATGGAGAGGTACAATTTTACCACTGCTGTTTGTTTAGGTCCTATTGGAATCAGGTTTTGTGCCTTCAGGATATATAAGATTGGGATATAGTCACTTGACACTTACAGAAAGGAAAAATAAAGTAATTCCTTGTCAAAGGCTGCAATTATAACAACCATAACAAAAAAAAAAAAAAAAAAGGCTGTTTTCCAACTTATTGAGGAAACTTCCAACTTATCCTGCAGTGGCCAGGAAGGATGAACCCTGAGCCGACTGGAGATGGTGACCTTTCTAACATCCCCTAACTAATGCAAAAGGAAGAAGCTGAGTGGATAATACTAGCAATGGGAAACACAGTACACCATATAAACCTGCCTGGTTACAGCAGACAGAATGACGAATATTTTTTCTTATTCCAATGTGTTTTGACCATCATGTAATTTACATTTAATTTTACTGTTCAGAAGACATTACTGAAAGAAGAACAGCTTTACTTGATAATTTTCTTGTTTGGTAGAACTAATGCATTAAAAAGGTTAATGTACTAAATTTACATTTTTCTAGACTCATAATTTCTTACTCCACTCTCTCCTCCCTAATTCTCAATATCTTTAAAAAGAAATTATATAAAATAAAACTTCTTTTTGACAGTTTGAGTCAGAAAACCACACTTTCCCGACTGATATTTTCGTGCTCTACAAGCTTTGCCAAAATAAACCACTTTGCATGTATTAAGAAGGAGTATTATATTAGATGAGGCAATTTAAGTGTATCCCATTTCACTTGGTGAAACTAAGCAGCTTTGCATTATAACTAAGGTGAGCTAATGAGAATATTCTTGAAGCATATGTTACTTGGAACTCAACTTAGTTAGTCATTCAACACTGTAACCTACGAGTTTGCAAAACAGTGGTAGGAATCCTGCTGCGAGGTAGATAGGAAAATTATTATAATCTGCATTCCTAAATTGAACGAGTATTTTTCTCTGCAGAGGCCTCTTGACTGAAAATAGTCTGAAATTGCATCCTGCTGTTTAAAATACTTTTTTTAAAAAAAAAAGGAGTGAAAATGTCCATATTTCTTTATATCAAATACCTTTGAAATCATGTGCGAGTAGAATTACTGAAAAAGTCAATGTTGTTTATCCTTCACTTACTATGATAATAACTGTTTGGTATTCAAATTTTGGATAGGGGGGAAAAGTGCCCAGAATTTCTGGTTTTATACTTTGATCTTATTTATTTAATTATCAGCTTGATAAATTTTAAAATAATGTGTCTGTGTTTTTTTTTTTTTTCACTGAAACAAGTTTCATGTTTACAAGTGTCTTATTTTGTACAGAGGAATGATAAGAATACACAGTCTGAAAAAACTCTAAACCAGAAAAGGCAACAAAAATGAAAAAAATAGAAAGGCTTAGAGGTAAGCCCTGCAGTATTCTGAACAATTGTGTTTAGCAATGTAAAAACAACAAATACTTCAGGATAGTTTGCTCTGCATCCTGCCTGAATGCCCAGAACAAGGAAGTGGAGGATTAGAGGGTTTAGCTTAATCTCCTCAAACTCTCTATGCTCTAAGTAGCTTCCAATTAAAAGATGAAATGTAAAGGAGGGCAGTGGGACAGCTTTCCCAACTGCACTACTCCTCAGCCAGACCCAGCAAGTGCTCTGCCTTTGCAACATGGAGTCACATGCATGCAAGTTAAACAAGCCAGGGCTCCTTCTCTTGCTGGGAGGGCCAGAGGCCCAGCACGCAGCTGGAGTCTTTCGACCCCAAAATCAGGTGCCTGCACTTTTAGTTGCCTCACAGAAACTATCCCCAGCTCATGCAGTTCCCTTCAATATACTTTGATACTGCATGGGGCCATGGCAATGGCGCAAAATCATGCTGGGAACACATGAACAAATCCTAGCTTGGATGAACAAGAGACACAGCTCAAAAACAAATCCAAGCCCTATTAAACTACTATAAATATACAGATATGGCTTTAGGCTTGCTGATGAGGCACATGAGGATGATTTGGTTAGCTGGGTTTGAAATACAGTTCTTAGCAAATAGTCGGCAAGGTAGGCAAGGGCAGAGACGAATCTCATACATAACACACTTTCCAGAAATTAAGATCGTAGAATCATAGAATCATAGAATGCTTAAGGTTGGAAGGGACCTCTAGAGGTCATCTAGTCCAACCCCCCTGCACACGCAGGGTCACCTAGAGCACGTGGCACAGGACTGCGTCCAAGCGGGTTTTGAAGATCTCCAGAGAAGGAGACTCCACACCCTCTGTGAGCAGCCTGTTCCGGTGCTCTGTCTCCCTCACTGTTAAGAAATTTTTCCTTAAGTTCCTGTGGAACTTTTGGTGTTTCAGTTTGTGGCCATTACCTCTTGTTCTGTCAGTGGCCACCAGTGAAAAGAGGCCAGCACCATCCTCCTTCATGCCTTATGTTGGGTAACTAGTCTGTTCCCATCTAAGAGCGGGATTCAAAACTGTGTCAGAACTACTGGATATATCACTTCTGTCTTTTCTCCTCACAAAATATAATTGACAGAAAACTCTTTCTTCCCCTCTCATTAGGTCAATCAGACAAAATACAAGAGGAGAGAATTCATTGCTCCTCTTTAAGAGCACACTTCTCCCAACCATCCAGAGGCATATTCCCAGGCACAGTCGATACACTGTAAGCTTAGCAAAAAAAATCTCCAGGACTGATTTTAAATCTGTGGTTATGCCAAGCATTCCCACATTATAGATCATCAAATCTTTTATTCTGCTTCTTCACTAAATGCAAAGTTTACTTTCACTTAACAGGCAAAGTAATTATTTCAGGATAAACACAACTTATTTATTTATATCAAGCTTATTTCTTACTTTTAGTAGCTAAGCCTTTGACAGGCTTCGTGGATAAAACTAGCCACACTTGCATTTCTTCAAAAGGAAAAAGTTAGTCAGGAACAATTCATGACGTACTAATTAGACAGGTGAAACTACTGATTTTGCAGCCATTTAGAGAATATAGCTCATTTGTTCTGGTTTGTATTGCTTAAATAGACATATCTGTTTCCTGACAAAGAAAGTTCATTCTCCAGTCTGTGTAATAAAGTTCATAATGTTTTAAGTAGTAAGGCCTGCAGAATCCCTGAAAAATAAACCATATTTTTGCATAATGTGCCATCTAAAGTTACGTATAAGTTTTAATGAATGAATTATTTTATAATGAATGCCTACTTCAGTAGCAATACTGGAAGCAAAATGAACAATACCTAGGATCTTTCAGCATTATCTTAATGTAGCAAGACTGTCAACAGTTGAATTGAGTTCTAAGTATCTGTAATCCTGCACAGTATATATTTAATAACCAGAACGAATAAAGGCTACACCGATTCCCCAGGCAGAAGTATACACTGACCTGTGTATGTGCATGCAATACAACATAGCAGAGTTCACAGAACTTTGACCTGTCTTTGGTAGTTTGGTAGACATGATGACCTGTCTTTGGTAGATTAACTGACATGATTTAAAGCATACTCTCAAATATATATGTGGCATCAATCACTGTTTTATCAACCTAGGGCTATGTGAAAGTAAGAGAATTGAAACAAAGTCTTCATTGATTAAACAAAACAGTCTTAAAACCTCAGGCTTTTAAATAATGCACCAACCTTTGTGTCCTTACATGCATCCGGAAAGTCCAGTACATCTACCTTTGATCAAGAACATTCAGTAAGAACATAACTCATCTGTTCCAGTATTCAGTCATAAGAAGTCTTCAGGGGTTACTAAAAAGGCCAGTGAAGGGATAAAGCAACTCCAGATATGTAGATGGAAATATCAAACATCGCTGCAATGATGCACTCCTCGTTGACTCTGCACAAAAAGAGAAGATGCTTGTTACATATTTGAAGAAGAAAAAGAAAAAAAAAATCCATTTTGTGTTTACATCTGAAAAATAATCTTGTGAAGTAGCGCCCAAGAGGTCACACTTGTAAGTTCAAGGTTTTGAAAATATTGTCCCAATACCTGTAAACATTGGCAGCCTGGAATCTGGGGCACAGCTTAGGGAGAAAAGGGGAGGAAAATTACAGAAAATGTGTTTCACATCAGCCTCAAACAAACCCTTTGCTAAGCACAGAGAATTGATAATTATGCATTTTTAAAGTTGGTTGCAGGAAAAAGAATGTTAGATGTTTGCAGACAAGAAAGTCTGCTACACTTTATGCTCTTATTCTGCTGCCTTTTTGCCTTGACATTGACCAGAAATTTATTATAGAGGCATTTTGTAAATTGCTAATAAACTATCTTTATAATGAAAACAATAGAGGAAATGTTACCAACACTTATCAATGATCATCTTTTTCTTGCTTTCTCTACAAACTGTGCATATTTATAATCTAGCCATATCTCCATCTTGAAGAAAAGAAACACAGATAAAAATGTGAATATTGCATTTAATTGCAATCCTTATATTATAATTTCTACCTTTAGCAGTTGTCAGGAAGGAAGGAAGGAAGGAAGGAGGACAGAACAATTTTTAAGTGTAGAAACAAAATTAAATCAAAAAGCTTCTGCAGAAACATTAAGAGATATGCACCTGCCTGAGATCCTTTCACTATGGTCTGGACCTAACAAGTGCAGATGTATGCATACTCTTTGAACTTCACATTTTCCTGTTGTGTGTTTAATGCACCAACACATTCACTTCATTACTGCACGAACACTTCAAGAAATGTTGAACTGTACAATGAGGAAATTGCAGAATATAGTACCAGTCTAGGAAAATATGTCCATTTTTTTCTTTGCAAGGAGAAGTCCTTATTAAAATAATTTCATTCACTTTACATAAAGTACTTACTTAGCTCAATATCAATTTACTTCTGACTGCTATTGCCTGTATGATAGATGATTTATAATACTGGATTATTCTCTTTTTTTCATCAGAAACATCTATTTATTAATAATTTATTAGATAAATTGCTTCTGATTGAGCAGTTCAAAAAAAAGCAGGTAAATCAATGGCAAAGGACAGGACACCAAGCAATATTTTATTATGATATAATAATTCAAGCTTATGCGTTAGACTGAGCTGATGATGTCCCTAATGCCCTCTTTCAGCAGCTCAGTTTTGTAGTGTAAATGTTCAGCAAAAATAATAAAACATATTTTAGATATTGCTGTGTGAAATCCTGCTGATTTCATAAACAGAATCTTTGAAAACTAATAGAAGCTGGTTACAGAAAAAAAAATGTAGAATACGAAACTTCACTGCAAGCACACAAGTTCTGCCTAGAAATGAGCTTAATAGTTACAGGGAGAAGAAATATGAACTTCTCACTCAGCAATGTGAATGGGCCTTGGGAAATCACAAGGGCCTGGTTCCTCACATCAGTGGTAAAGATTGTAGGATTAGATCAAAAGAGTATTTGACTTCACACATTTGTGGGAAATGGACAATAAGAGAATGAAATATGCAAAGTCATTATGAGGGAGTACAAGCTCTTGCGTCATCATATATGTCATACTCAGAGTTAAAGAAGTTGCAGCTAAACTGATCACAGGAAATAAAATGCATTCTAAGGGCTGTGCTCTGATAGTCTTCACTGCCTTTGATGCCTTAGAGAAGAAAAGGGGAGATTTGGACACATTGGGTATATTTTGGGCATCTCGGTGGAAAAAAATATATATACATCTCCATTCTTCCCTATTCGAGGAAAGCAAGAATTAAACAACTTTAAAACTTTCAAGGAAGCACACGAACTCACCAAAAAAGAATATTGTTGAACGTCATACTTTTTTATGGGTATTCTATCATTACAAAAGAGACTGTTTTCACATGAGACTTAAGGAGACTAGTCAATAATGTGCTGACAGTATGTAGACTTATTTAAGAAATTGATACTGTTCAGTTTGAAAGAACAGAAAATGTGCCAAGAATAGATCCTTTTTATACTTGGTAATAGATAAGAATTTCCTTTCTGTTATGTGATGAAATGTCTTATTGATTATAAACAATAAGTCTCAAGAATGACAGATCTACCAATAAATTCAACAGTTCAACACTTAGAATATATGCAAATATCAATATATGCACGTTTAAATAGTGATACCCTAAATTTATCTAGTGTAAGCAATTTTAAAGAATAGATACAAAGTGAAAATATCGAATTAAGTGGGGGAGCATCATTACTTTGGGGAGGGGCGTTATTTATTTTTTCATTGAACTGTTTGTGTTAATGGGAATACTACAGATTTTCTTTTTGTGACTGTCCATTTTTGATGTGAATTTATCCAGTGTATCTAAAAGTAGATGATGAGTGTATACTTGCAGGCTATATCAGCTCCATCATTTTTTCAGTGCCTCATAAAAGAGCAAAGGACAAGTCACTTTTATTCTTTTCTCATCAGAGAAAGATCCTTTTCAACAGACTTACTGCTTTTCTGCTAAGTGTGCTAGCACTAATGTCAACACTATTAACTGGTTAGTTGTGTGACTGTTATTGTACCTAAAACTTCTAGCTGGTTTCTTCAATAATAAATACACCCAGACCTATCCAGAATCTCTATCAATATGGGAAAAGTAAAATTCTTAGGGCTCAAAGAAGCTCCTGTGTGCAAATCTTCAGCTTTTTATCCCTGAGTATCTGCTGGGTCCTGGTTCTCTGACCATGGCCTCTGCATCCCCTTATTTTGCTCCTGGTCTCTCTCTTGGAATGAGACATCTGGTTCCCCCTGCAATGAAATCTGGAAATGCTTTTGGACACAGTTCGCTCCAGAGATCACTCCCTATGGGCAGTAGGAACTAGACCTTTGCAGGCTTGATACATTCCATCCTGTACAGACCCATCCAGCTGTGGGCCTCTGACCACATGCCCTTATGATGCAGGGAATGCACAGAATGGTTAAGTTTGGAAGGGACCTCTAGAGATCATCTAGTCCAACCCCCCTGCTCCAGCAGGGACACCCAGAGCATGTGGCACAGGGTGGCATCCAGGTGGATTTGGAAGATCTTCAGAGAAGGAGACTCCACAACCTCTTTGGGCAGCCTCTTCCAGTACTCTGTCATCCTCACAATAAAGAAGTTCTTCTTCATATGGAGGTGGAACTTCCCGTGTTTCAACTTACACCCGTTATTCCTCATCCTGTCACCAGCCACCACAGAGAAGGGCCTGGTTCTGTCCTCCCTACAGTCACCCCTCAGGTACTTGAACATATTAATCAATCTCCTCTCAGCCTTCTTTCCTCCAGACTAAATAGGCCCAGCTCACTTCTTAGTCTTTCCTCATAAAACAAATGCCCCATACAATTCCTTTGCATTTAGCTATAAAAATACCACTCTGGCAGTCTGCAATTTAGATATTACATAATTCCAAGCACACTGAATGGAATAAGAAAGTATAAAAATATTAGCTACTGCTCGGGGACATGCATATGCTGCACATCATTGACATTGAAAGGAAGGACTCTACTCAGTTCAGCATTTGTTCTCATAGTAGGAGTCAGGGAGCTCCAAAGAGCCAGCTCCACTGGCAGCAGCTTCAAAGAGGAGTAAAATAATGCTGTAGAGCTGAGCTTAGAGGAAATTTGCTCTCTTCTGCTCTACAGATCTAAACAAAGGGCCCAGCAGAAGTATGACATATCTCACAATTGACTGTTAAAAGGGAAGCCAAAAGACCAGCAAAGGTTTTATCTGTCTCCTCTTTATCTTCATGGCTGTTATCTTTACTCTGCCTTTCTCCCATTCACTTAGTAGAATGACAGGAGGAAAAGGGTCCAAACAATAAAGAATAACCAATGAACGAACATGTTTCTTTTGTCCCACTTAAGAGAGTAAACTCCTCCCTCATCCACTTGATAATTTAAAAGCATTTGAAAAGCTTATTGACTTCAAAGCCAAGGGTATTGACTCATTAGAAGCTATTCAGGAGGAGTCACCTGGGTTGCAGAATGTCCAGGCTGAGCTGCCTCCCACTCCTATGAGGGCTGTGGGAGCAGCTGTATCTGTGTTGTCTGCTGTGAGCTCCAAGCATTAAAATCTTATGTTAAGATGCAGTAATGCGTGGGATCTGGTAATTGTGTATTTTTTTTTCTTAGTAATAATTTTGAGTGGAGTTCATTGCCTTCTGTGATCCTGCTAGAGACACTTTGTGTGTGTTTAAGACTTACTTTAAAGAAAGAAAATTTTACACAAACATATCATAGAGGAGAATCACCTGTTTCTAGAAAGACAAAATTAAAAAAAGAAATATTCTAAGTGATATTTTTAGGTCAGACAATAGCAAGTAATTCAGGAATTGTGTATTTTAAGAAACGACCTCCTTTTTCTCCACAAATGAAAGTTATTCTCCCTCAAACAATATATAGTAAATGACCAGGAGAATGTTCCTACTTTACATACTGCACTGTAAAATAAAAGGAATTAACTTAAACCACCACAGCTGAATCATGTATGTTGCATCAACAGAGTAAGACAGAAGACACTAAATATCAAAGCATAGGAATGTTTTTTTCCCCTTGCTTATCGCTATGATCTTTTGCTATCTCAAAGATAATAGCTACTACTCACTCTAGTAGTAGCTACCCCAAGTAAGTCTAAATGCCAAAAATCTTTCAGACTATGACCAAAAGAACAATACTAAAAGGTTTTAGTGTTATTTTGAACCCATATCCAGAAATGATAATTTAATAATTAAGTAGTTCTTATGTATGCGTTTCTAAATTCTTTAATGTCTCAGCATTTTAGCTGAGACAAGTTCAGTCAGGTATTGAAAAACTAAAAAAGTAAAGGTGAACGAGAAGCAGCCAGTTGTCTATGTTTCCTTCCAGACATTACTGTGACAACAGCAGAGAGAGCAGCTGTAGCTATCTCT